GCCGCGCCAACGGCCGCGCCAACGGCCGCGCCAACGGCCGCGCGCCCCAGCGGCGGCGGGGCGCGAGCCGCAACGTGTCTCTCTCCCGTGCGCAGGTGCTGTAGGCGGGCGGCGCGGCGGGAAGATGGGACTGCTCGTGTTCCTGCGCAACCTGCTGCTCGCGCTCTGCCTCTTCCTCGTGCTCGGCTTCCTCTACTACTCCGCCTGGAAGCTGCACCTGCTCCGCTGGGAGGACTCCAGTAAGTGCCGGGGGGCCCTGCGGGACGCGCTGGAGCCCGGCGCGGCGCGGGAGCGCCCGGGGGCTGCGGGCGCGGGGTGCCCTGCGGCTCGGCTGTCCCGAGGAGGGCGAGGGCAGGCTGGCGCCCTGCGAGCCGGCGGTGGAGGCTGCAGCTCGCACTGGGGGTTAGTGTGAGGTGCCCCGTTAGCAACGCGAAGTAAGCTCGAGCTTTGTTTCCTCAGCCTTTCTGGACTTTCTTGGTACCCTTTGTATTTTAGGAAAATATCCAAGGCAAGTGTTCCTTCTGTTTTTTCTTTCTGTTTGTTTTTGTTATTTTCCTTTGCTGGCCCTTGGTTTCCTTCTCCAATCATATGGTCCTGGTTATTTTACCGCCTCACTTTGTCCTTCAGGAATCCTTATCTTGGGCTGCGTTATCTGCCAAATATCTGTCATCTAAAGCAACATCTCGCAACCTTTTCAAGTCTAAAGGGACAGCTGACCTCATTGAATACAGTCTGCGGATTGTACTGTGCARTAATGTCACAGGAGATTTTACTTGCCATCAGACATAAATCGAGCTTAGCTTTGAACACTTAGCTGCACCTTTATTTTAGTTTATCTTCCATTTTCATGTTTATGGGTGAGGATTGTATATTCAAACCATAAACAGGCCAGCAGTTCCCTTCCCCCAACACAAACACAAGCCATCCTTTTTTGCGGCCGTTCTAAGGGCTTTTTCAGATGTGTCACAGTGGAGCAGTGCCCCTGGATCAGAGGCTGCGAAACACTGACCGAGAAGAATTGCTCTTCTGTCAGACAAGAGCTGTCAGTCAGATTCCCCGTTCACTGTGTTGCAGTTCTGTGCATGGTGCTGGAGACTTCTCTTTCAATACACTTAATATGCTTTCGATAAACTTAATCATACTTTTCTACCTTTACCTGATCCGCATCTTTTGCCAAGTGCTGTAGGATGTTTTCTCTGGTAGTAGATGATGACTTAGACATGCCTTTTACACCAATACAGTGACTTTGGCTACTAAGATGATGTGCACTGGAACGGGTAGTGGAAGAGTGAAGTTGTAAGATAGCAAGTTTTGTGTCTTCTGGGCAGAGATTTTTTCCTTTAGGGATGTGTTTGAGGCATTGGGAGTAAAAATACTGGCTGGGACACTTTGAAAACTAGCACCTTTGTCAGTGGCATGTGGAAAGCACTTTCCGAATGGGAATAAGGGCAGAGTACAGTTAAATGACCGACTTTGATGCATCTGCTACAAAATAACAGTGTGTTTTGCAATCAGAATACCTGTATCCTTTGTTTCCTTTGAACTTCTGTCAGGGCTTTCCAGGGCACAGCTTAGGGGTGCCCATTGTTAACGTGTGAAAGCAGAGCTTCACTGCTTGTATGCCATGTGCTAAGGTGCAGGAATGAGGTCTAAATTTATTTGACTTTTGCTTCTTGGGACTATATATGTCTAATTCTAGGTGCATATGTTGTTTTAATCAGGGTCAGTTTCTTGRGAATTCGTGTGCAAGTTGGTCTTTTTGGTACAATGTTGCATATCCGTAGGCAAAACAATGTTGGTTTCTAGACRCACAGTGTCCCTTGGATTGCAAGGGGCCAGGGTGCTGCTGGGGTTTGATGCTCAGGACATTCCAGCAGGATAGGACAGGATCACCCCGAGCTGATGTCACAGCCTTTTTTATTCACTGTATGTCTCCTTTACTTTTATTTTTTTTTCCCTTTTTGTCTTGTTTTTAACATATGTTCTGTGTTTATTCTTGGAAGTTACAATACTAAGTTTCTTCAACATGTACAAAACAATGATACTGTTCTTCATACATGGCTAATGGCTCTTCATCAGTTGCTACCACTGAAAAGGAGCAATGGTGCAGCTTATATTTTAGATTTTTTAATGAATTGTATCTCAAATATCTCAGATCCTCAAAATATCACTGTAAACAGCAGTCTTGTAAGCAGTTATGCTGGAATTTTGGATGTATTCAATAATATTTTACTTATCATCTAATTTTGCATGTGAGAAATTTATGCACAATATAAATAAAATAATAATAATAAAAAAGGAAGCTCCATATTAAGAGTCAATGATAAGCTTCTATAAATAAGAAATTTGGAATTTAACAATTGACAGAAAGGAAGTTGCTTATTGACTGTGATTAGGCTTCCTTGAGCATATGTAAYATGAAACTGTGTATAATGGTGCAATTATACCTTTTGCTTTTTTTCCCTTAGTGGCAAACTTGCACAGTTCAGTGCCCAAAATAGATTGCACTGAATGACTGTTGTTATTTCTTTGTTTCTGTATATTTCAGTGTGCGGCTTTATGTCTGTTATGGTAATACTGGTATCCAAAGGGCCAAAAATAAATTAGGTTTGTTAGTTCTTGAGCGTTTAATGATCTAGGAATATTCCTTTTAGTTCTGAAGTGTTTAATGACCTAGGAATATTCATTTTATATTTAATCCATCTTATTACATTTTCTCTTTTTGTGATCAGTGCCTTTACGCTGTGCAACAGTGGTTTAGTATTCATCTTTGCTCTGCTCCATTCTTCGTGCTAGTGGAAGCGTGAAACTAAGCTAGARCTGACATCTGATGCTCTTGCAATCTCTTCAGAGACTGTGGTTTTAGTAAACTTGACTGCTTTATTATTGGGCACAGACAAATCCGTTATAGGATACTTCCAAAGATATGTATTTGCTTCCTGCATGTGTCTTTTTGTTCGTTGTTGTGTTTATTATTTTTCTCTTAATAATTTGGGAAATGTCTTGTGTACATTGTTGTTATGGATGTAAATAATCGGTAACTCCGTAAGGAAACTAGTCATGCTGAGGCTGGAATTTTTGTATATTCAGCTGCTCAACTAAATTAATGGATAAAATATGTTGTTGATTTCTGCTTCCAACACCTCCAAGAAAAGATGCTGGACTTCTGGATGGTGTTAAAGATGCACGTGACAGTTTTTCTGTAGTGTCCCTGCTTAACTTCAGATTTTCCTCCTTGAGCGATGCCTTAGTGAGTTTTGAGAGATTGTTCTCCATGATGTGGAACTGCACACCTTGCCAAAACACAGAGGAGAGCAGAAAAGAATGAATTCTCTGAGGCTTATCTTTCTTCTGACGAGAATAGATTGAATTCAGCTACTGCCAACTAATTAAAGTTGAATTAAGTTCAGCTGCACCTCCCATTCAAGACAAACCTCCTGTGACTGTTTCTCCTTTCTCATCCTTGCAGCAGGGAGTGTCGTGACCGTAATTCTTGCTTCATRTTTGTGGTGATACAGTTATTCTCAGAGCAGTGGTTCAGCACAGAGCCTTGAATGCTGCATGGGATGTGAGTTCTGGTTATCACTGGGAGAATATGAGCAGTGTTAGGATAAGGTAAGCTTCCAGTTTTCCTTTTTTCTTCTTTTTTTTTCTTCTCCATATTTCTTTGTTGCAGACTTGGTCTCTGGCGCTAGTGGCAAGAGTTGTACACCTTGTGCACCTTAAGAGTTGCCTGTTCTTCCCATGTAAGGAGTAGTGACAGACAGTGCAGCCGTCTTGAATCAGAGTGTGCTGAGAGTATGGAAATGGCAGTCTGGTGTGGGAGGTGAAGGAAGAAACAAGGTTGCTATCAGATTTAGGCATCCTGCTCATTCAAGAAAGACTTGGCAGTAGCAGTTAATCCTAACTCTGTTTCTTGTGTTTCTGGATGGTGAGTTTCTAGGAACAGATTATGAAATAATGGTAATGATAGGAGCAGATTTTGAAAGTATGAGACATGCTTAGGAAAGGCAGCATCTTTCGTAAAAACTTTTTTCAGTGTCTTCCTGATAGAGAGAAAAATATTCTTTTTTTCAGTGTCTTCCTGATAGAGAGAAAAATATTCTGATGCATTTGGCTCTGAGGAGGAAGGAAGATGGTTATCTGTGCAATAACCCAAAGGAAGGTGCCCTGATGTCTCTGGAGAGCAGAATGAGAGATGGAGTCTCGCTGACGGTGCCTCTGGGTTTGCTCCATCAGCATGGAGGAGTGCGCTTCTCCCAGAACTGTAAAGGACAGAGTGTAGTCACGTTAAAACTCCGTACTGGTGCTTGTTACTTAAGCTGGTGTACATGTATAGCTGATGGTGCAATTTGAGAAATTATGTGGTGAAGAGGGAATGCTTCTATTAAAAAATGTCCTGGTTATGAAAATATTGGACTCATTCTCCCAAGCCAGCGATTTTTCTGCTGGCTTGACTTCTCAGTCTATTGGAACATRCCTGGGACAAGGGCAGCTTGTGAGGCTCTTTTTCCACTCTGTTTTATTTCTTCATATGTTAGCATAGAATTATTACTAAAAATATATATAGGCTGGTACTTTTTCCAAAGTTTAATATGATTTTTAACTATAGACAGTGAACTTCTGAGTTTGAATATGGTTCTTGTAACAGTTTTGATAGATAACGTCAGGAAATCACTACTCTTCAGTCTCTTTCATCTCTTGCACGCTCTTGCACGGTATTTTCAACTCTAGTTTTGCAAAGATAACCAAAGAGATAAAGCTATGGGAACATGTGTGCGTTGCTGGTTTTTTATTTGTTTGTTTTCCCCTTTGGTTTTTTTTCCCCCAAAGGTATTTTAGGACTCTCGTCCTTCTTATACTTTTTCTTAATGTCTGTTTCTATGGGAACCAAAGAGACATGCAAACAGGCAGAACTGACTCACTTCTGGYTGTAGGTTTTTAGTCTGCTTGCATTTCTATGGAAACCAGTCTCACAGCAAGTAAGGATAAATTAATGAAAAAATGTCTGCATCTTTACAAAAACTGTTGATTTTTTTCTTATTGAAATAGTATTTTTGTTATGTTTTGTATTAAAATATTCTTGGGACTGAAGTTGACTTTTGCAGGGGTTTGGGGTGTGCATGAAGCTCACAGTCTGTGTGGCTGAATGTATTTGGGTGTAACTGTCGTGTCTTGAGTTAGCGGTGTCATCATTTGCTCTGTGCCAAGGGAAATGACCTTGTACAAGCTGGCATCT